GGAAATGTCCCTGCTCATGGCAGGGGGGTTGGAACCAGATGAGCTTTAAGGTCCCTTCCAACCCTTACAATTCCAAGACACCATCCTTACTCTCAAGTCTTATGTGGTCCCATCTCTCTAGCTTTCACAATTACCAGTCAAACTTCTCCCCACACAAAGTAACCGGCTACCAATCGTCTCAACCTCCAAACTCCTGAGTGGAGTCTGCAGGACTTACTACTACTTACTCCAAGCCTGCAGTCTAACCCACAGCTCTTGTTGGCAGCCTTTCTCTATCACCGCGTTCACAAATGCACTGAACGCCATTCCCCCTACCGCAAAGCATCATGCTTCTGCCATTTAGCCACCATCTTCCAACGTAATCTGATCTCCAAGTGTATTTATGGGTAATCTATACCCGTTTGGTTTCCTGCCAGCACCATCAGCTAGGTCCAACAGCCCTCCTCCCTCTCCTTCCCACGCGCAAGGTACTCACAAAACTTGGTCGCGTCCCCTGCCAGCCTTCCTTCCGCAAGGCTGAGCGAGGCCAGCGCTGCAAGGGGCTCTCGGCTCCCTCCGTCACCCCGACGGCTCTTCCCCCCATCTGTTCCAGCGGGCAGTCACGCCTTTTAACACACTGCCTTTCGTCCTGATCGCTCGCCCCAGACCAGGCCTGACCAGGGCTCTGTGCAGCCAAACGAGTATTTTCCTACTGAGAGGACACCTCAGCTGACTGCCTTCAGGGCTGCTTCCTCGCCGCTTCGGCTCAGAGCTTCACAGTTTCCTAAAACTGACACTACACCGGCCTTCTCCTTCCCCATTTCCAGTGCTGTTTGTCCAGGACAAATGCCATCTACTCACAGCTAAGAAGTTCATGTTATATTATAACGCTGAACACTATTTCTACCTAGAAGCTATGCTTCCCAAACCAACTTCGCTTAACACACCAAACCCAGCCAGAAAGGAGAAATAAATCTCAGAATAGAATACTGTAGGTGACCCTGCTTCGGCAGGAGGGTTGGACTAGATGACCCACAGAGGTCCCTTCCAACCCCTACTATTCTGTGATTCTGTGATTCTGTAATAGTCTCCAAATGAAAAAAAAAATATAATCCATTTGTCAGAAGAGCCATTAAAGCTCTTGATAATTAAAAGGACAGATAAAAAAACTGCCTCTTTAATAACTATCTTAGATTCAACACGTAACCTGGGATGCTTAGATAAACATTCCAGTTAATTACAGCCCACAGCTTCACGAATGTCTGTGTTTAAAGTACCTCTTCCCTCCTCACTTCCTTTCTGACCTTCTTCACGGGTTAATTATTGTGTGTACATGTGGTTCACGCAGAAAAAAATAGAAAGACAAAGGAGAGGAAAAAAAATCCCCTTGGAACTGGCTTCTAAAGCAAAACAAGACTGGTCATTCTCGAAGTACTCTGAGCTGCAAATAATAAAATGAAAGCATTTGTTCGCACTTCCATGTTTCTTTATTACACACAAAAATAATTTCTGTTTCTATGTGGCCTACACACTCAAACTCAAAAATTGTTCCTTTTTTTTCTTTTTTTTTTTAGCTTAAGCAGCATGCTGGCAACAGGCTCACCAAGACCCAAGACCTGTCCAGTTGTGCCGAGCGGGGTCCAGCACCCTTCCCTTCCGCAGCAAAGGCGGCCCAGGGTGCAGCCACCTGTATCACCTGCGGCAGAGATCCGCCCCTGTCCCCCCCCCCCCCCCCCCCCCCCCATTTTGAACGAGCAATGCAAATCGTCTGTTTCTCCCCATCCCGCTAATTACAAAACTGTTACTCCTGGCCGTTCTGCATCTTGTGCGTCACGTGCAGCGACGGGACGTTCAGCGAGCCTTCGCCTCTTGAGAAAGGCAGCCTGGCACAGCGAGGCGTCTGTGCCAATCCACAGCAAAGCTGCTTGTTCTCCCTCAGCAGCAGAGAAAACTGTATTTACATAGTTTACTTTTCAGAGTGAAAGCATCCCCCTTTGTTCAGCCAGCTCGCTTGCACACAACTCTGCACGTCGGTGGAGGCATCTCCCCTACTTCAGTCACCGTGCTTGGGCTGGAGCTCCCGAAGTCAAACGGCACTGCCCGGCAGCGTCCGCCATGCCGTTGCAGCTGAGTTGGAATCACAGAATCACAGATTGCCTGTCCCTCTGTCCCTGCTCCGACGGGGCTCTCCTGCCTGCGGAGCCGACCCACGGGTACGTGTCGCTGGGGAGGAGGGACCCTGCCGGAGGGAGAGCCCTGGCCTCGAGCCACCCTGCCAGTCCAGCCTTCCTCCCAAACCCACGCTCCCGTTTCCTTCGGAGTCAGCTCCTTCCCCTCTGAGCGAAATGGGTCTGATTTACAACCCGCAGCCGAGGAAATACCCAGCCTGATCCTGACCGCTGCAGGGCAAGCGTGGGTTCTTAAATTAACACACAAGACGAGCAACAACATCTTCCCTTTTTCCTTCCCATTGATTAAAACAGAAAACACCA